CACCCTCGCCAAGGTGAAGGAGGAGGAGGTCGAGCCGTCTCCCAAGCGCGAGCCCTCGCCTGCACCAGCGATTGAGAACCCCACGGTCAAGAACCACGTCGTCAACCAGCTCGCCTTCTCCCGCCTCTCGTCCACGCCCCTGTCTGCCATTATGAACGCGCTGCCCGCCGAGGAGAAGCGTGGCCTCACGAAGAGCACGCTGCGTTCTATCATCGAGGGCACTGTCTGCATTGGCATCATCTCGCGCCAGGGCAAGGATGCCGCCGGCCAGGCCCTCGAGAGCGAGTACTACTACATGCCCGAGGGCGACGACGACGAGCAGCGGAGGCTCGCCGTTACTGACGGCCTGCGCAAGCCGAGTCTGCGGGCGTGCAGGAAACAGCACAAGGTACGTTCCATTTACCCCTTTATGACTGCTACCTGCCTTCAGAATTTCGACGAGGTCTAACCATGGAAATAGCAATACTACTGGAAGCGCCCCCGAACTCCGTGATCGCTTTTGCCTTTTTTACACCTTGACCTCTTCCCGTGTCTATACCTTTTCTTGGCCCGCTATCCCCTTGTCACATAGCTGCATAGCGAATGGCGTCTTTGTCTTGTTTTATAGTCGGAGCCCCAGATGGGGTATCATTTTCTTCGCCAGTCCTCATGAAGGGCCTGTCATCTGTATTGGTCCCGGGTGGTCTTTTCCTATTCTTCTTGGTTTTTTTTTTTTGGTGTCGGTGTCGGGGAGGACGGAAGTATACCCCCGTCACGTCATGGTCAGCGAGGCTGGCGTCGAAGGCTGGACGGAAGGAAGCATGGGATGGAGTATGGAGGGAAAGCCCGTGTATTAGATAGCGACTTTGTATCTGACGTTGACTCGGGTGAATTGAAGTGTTCAACGGCAAGTACTCAGTACTCCAGTTTCCACCTCCGTGTGACATGTCAAATATTGAGAGAGATGTTTGTTCGAGACATCGAGATCCCCGGATGACCTGTGCACACCACCAACACCAAGACATGACGTTGAACTTTCGTGCTCACACCCGATGCAACCACACGAGCGGAGTGTGCTGTCGCTCGTTCCATCCCACCACGAAATTGTGACAAATGCACTGCAAAAACTCGCGGCCAGCGTCAGCCAGCATCTTCCAACCTGCCAGCCCGCCCGAGGTGAACACGCTGGTGCAGTCCACCACACAACAGAAAGGCAACGCTACCCCGAATGCGTGCCACTGCATCGTACCATGCCCCCATCCCCCGCACCCACATCTCACCACCGCCAGTCATCGAAACCGTGAGGGTCACGACACCTGAATGTCAAGCGTCGTACCGTTTCCTGCCCTTTCCTCGCGTAGACCCCCGGAGCACCTCTCACCTCTCACTTTCGAGACCTGCCAGCCTGTGAAGTACTCCCAGCGAACGGATGGTCCAGCTACCTAGGTAAGTAAGGTACACAAGACAGGCAGCGTTACCGGGCCATTCGCACGCATTCCTCCAGCACCCCCTTAGTCCTGCAGCGTCAGGCAACCAGCCCGCTTTGCCTCTACCTAAGGTACCTACCCCGCAACAGCATGCCTAGACCCAAGCCACGCGAGAGGGAGGAGGGGGGAAAGGACCCCGAGTGTGCTCACCTCATTTTGCACCGCATGTCAGTCTAGGGTCTCGCGATCGGCAGCACGCCGGGGCGGGCGGGCGGCAACGAACGCGCCCCAGCGGGTAGGTAGGCAGGAGAAGGAGCGAAACGCCCCCCCCCCCCCTCTCTGCCGGATCGGGGATGTGGGCAGGTGCAACCCGGGATATAGGGGAAGGAAGGCAGTCCTACACTTATATGAAGGGGGGTCAACGGTCCCCATTAAGGCTGGCACGTCTTGACAACGAACACAAAATCCTAACAACGTCTGTACACAAGCACCACCTACAGAACCACCAACATCACCTCATCTACGGCTGACCTGCGTCAACAAACGCTAAC